CTATATGGAAAAATGAGAACGCCACAACCATGAACTTTTGGCGCTCCGCGCGGCTTTCTTGGACCTGCAGCGGACCCCCCCTCCTCTGGCGCGCTCCGCGCGCCAGGGGCGGCGCCGGAGGCGCCGCCAGGGGGGGGGGGGCCCAGCGCGGATCAAAAAAAGACGCGCGGAGCGCCACAAATTATGTTTATGGTGTTTTGTTCGACGACTTGAGGCGCGCCAGCGGCTCAGTGTCCGCGGGCCGGGCGGCGCGGCGCCGGGCCTCCTCGGCAGGCCAGGCGGGCCCGTCTCGCCATGGCCTCGCCGGGGGAGGAGGCGCGCCGGGGGGTGCTCTGTGAACGGGGGGGAAGAACCGAAGGGCCCAGCCGTCCGTCCGAAGGGGATCCGTATGTAGAGGAAGGATGACAGCGATGGAATGTTTTATCCCTCAGCGCTGCTCAGTCCTTAATCCAGCCGGGAGAGGCGCGGGGATCTGCATCTCGCCGAGATCGAGCCGATTCGACGTCGACGTCGGCTGGCCCGGTCCAATCCGACCCCGATGTCCCGACGGTCCGATACGGCCCGAGGCTTGCACGGCGCTGCTCTGCATCCTGTCGCAGCCGATCCGACTCGATTTCGACTCCGTGCCGACGCAGCCTGGTCTGACGCACACTTCGATTCGATCCGACTTCCCGATTCGAGGCTGGCTGATCCTGGGGGGGAAAGGATGCAGCAAGCGGTGGTCGCGGCATGCGGGAGAAGGGGGGGATGAGATGGCCGTGGCGCGCCACACTTGAGGACGCGGGCGGGGTGCGAACAGAAACGGGCACAGATGAGCAGAGGGATCTCAGAGGGCCACCAGGCCCAGATGTTACATACATACATACATACATACATACATACATACATACATACATACGTACATACATACATGCATGCATGCATGCATGCATGCATGCATACATACATACATACATACATACATACATACAACCATACATGCATGCATACATACATACATACATACATGCATGCATACATACATACAAACACATTTTTTACATACATACATACATACATACATACATACATACATACATACATACATACATACATACATACATACATACATACATACACACATACATACACACATACATACACATACATACATACATACATACACACATTCATACATACATACATACATACACACATACATACACACACACATACATGCATGCATGCATGCATGCATGCATGCATGCATGCATACATACATACATACGTGCATACATACATACATACATACATACATAACTACATATGTATATATAGATATGTATATATATATATATGTGTATGTAGGTGCACATGCATGCAATTATGTATGCATGTACTTATGTAGATACATGTGTTTGACGGTGTATGGAAATTGGTTTGCGCATGCATGCATGAACATGTGTATGTATGTATTGCTTGCCCACGCTCCATACGGAGTTGTAGCGTGAGCATGCTCTATGGAAGTGGCAATATTCCAGTGGAGGCGCCCAAGCCTGCTGAGGTGTCCTATGGAGGCTCTCTGTGGGAGTGTCCTATGATCAGTGCCCTGTGCTCTATGGAGGAGCCCCTGAAGGTGCCCAATGGTTGGTTTGCATGCGCGACTTCGCGAACGAGGAAGAACCCCGAAAGACAATCTCAATTTGGGGAACATGTCACTGACACGATGTAATACGATGTGACAGAGTGTGCGATGCAACGCAAAGATGCACCATACTGCGCTATGCTACGCAACGCTTGGCGATGCTATGCAATGAAATGCCGCTGTACACAACGCTACGCTATTATGTTCAGTGTCATCTAATTCATGCCATGGTAATAACAAAATGCGCAGCGATGTAATGCATGTCGGCAATACTATTCCATGTTCGGTTAGGTGAGCTACACAATGCCATGCTACGGGCTACGCGCTGTCACCAACACTAAGCCGTGCGATGGCACGGCCTATGAAATACTGTGTCATGTCATGCGGTGTCAGGATATGCCGTGCATTACATGGCCATTATATCTAAGGCAATGCCATCCCATGGTGGAATCGGCGGCACTGCGCCATGAATAGCTTATTCTAGAATTCGCATGCCATATCATGGTAGTGCACACGTGTGCTGTCAATAAACCCATACAAGGAGATGTGATCGCGCTGGGTTCATGTTGTAAGCCATTTTAGAATGTGCTGCCGGATGCCGAAGTTCAGGCAAAATCCAATACTCGAGGGGAGCTGTGCCAAGAAAAGCGGTTGGGGGTCCCACGCATTCTCGCGCTGTTGGGCCAGGATGACGGAACTTCCTTCACCTGGACGCTCCCTCGAAATAACCCCTGTCGTTCCACTCTATACACACAGTCTCTGGGGTAGTAGGACATCTGTCCCCCTCCTCCTCATCGTGATCGTCCACCTCATCCGACCACTTATTCACTGATAGAGCTGGCATTATCTGTCTCGGTTTCCCGATCCAACTGCTTATCCTGTTGCTTATGTTGCTGCTCCTCCTCATCCTCCCCTTTGCTGTGCTCGCCTCTCCCCCCCAGAACCCTCCAGACGACATCTTGGGAAGGACAGCGCTGGGGGACCACGTCGCTAGGAACAACAAGACGTCGAGGGTCTGGGCATGCCAAAGCCATAGGGACGCCTCTGCCCATTGACCTCAGGAATTCGCAAGGCGTCCCAGGACTCCAGCGGGCCCCCGGACGCAGCTGGGGCGCCTGCGGAACGACACGCATGGTTCTTCTCACGTGCGCCTGCCGGTACAATCACGACGACCCAAGCTCACTAGCAAACTAATGCTCCCTGCTCCGCCCCTCCCAGCCCAAAAACCAGAGCGTCAAGAGATAAGCGGCCTTGCGCTGTCCGAGCAGGGGGGGTGCAACCTCTCACCATCATCCCACCAGCGCTTTGGGCAGAGGTGGTCTGGTGAACTCTGAAAGGGGCCCCAGGACACACAAATACATACACACAAATAAAAAGAGTCCCCATATTTTCCCATATCTTCTGGGCTTCTGTCTTCCCCCCCCCACTTCCCATATCTTCCCATATTTTCTGGGGAATCGACGATTCATTGTGTCTGTGTGTTTCTTTCCCTCCTGAAGCTCTTCCTTTCCCCTGCCAAAAAACCTCTCCCCCTGCAGGAGGTCTACGCCCCCCCCTCTCCGAGGTTTTGTCGGGGGGGGGGGCCTTCGCGGCGCGGGCGCCCAGGGTGGCCTTCCAGGTGGCTCCAGGAGGGCCTCCGATGCTCCACGGTTGCCCTCAAGATGGCTCACGATAGCCGACGATGGTCCAAGATCGCTTCCAGCACACTTAGCCGACGATGGTTCAACTTCCAGCATACCTCAAAGAGGCCCGACGAGGGCTCCAGGAGGGCCTCCGATGCTCCAAGGTTGCCCTCAAGATGGCTCACGATGGCCGGCGATGCTTCAAGATCGCTTCCGGCATACTCCAGATTTCGTACTAAGGGAGGGGGGTCTCATTTCGGGGGGGGGCCTCCTCCAGGCCATCTTGGAGGGCCTGGGGGGGTCTGGGGACGATGTTCTGGAGGGTTCTCCCACGGGGGAGGTCTGAGATGGCTTGTCTTGGAGGGTTGTGACCCCCTCCCTTTTATTACGAAATCTGGAGTACCTCAAAGAGGCCCGACGAGGGCCATAAGACGGTTCCAAGTGCCCTCGGAGCCCCCATCCGGACACCCCCAAGAGGCCCACATCGTTAACGGAGGGAACATCAGCAGCTTTTGGCTTCTCGCCTGTTCGCTTCCGATGTGCTTTTGAGGCCTCAAGATGGCCCCAAGATGGCCCAAGAGGGAACCAAGAGGCTCCCCTGATGACCCCAAGAGCGCCCAGCGCCACAAGAGGGCCCCAAGAAGGCTTCAAAATGCGATTTTGATGGGCTCGGGGGGGGGGGGGGGCGAAATCGGGAACCCCCTTCCCCCCTTTGTATCGATGGCCTCCAAGAGAACCCCAAGAGGCCTCACAGGGCCCCCAAGGAACCTCCAAAAGGGCTCCAAGAGGGCTCTAAGACCTCCCAAGAGAGCCCCAAGATTCCCCCAAAGGGTCCCAAAAGGGCTCCAAGAAGGGATTTGAGGGCTCTGTACTCGTCCTCGTTGTCCTCCTCCTTTTCCTCCTCGTCGTCCTTGCCCTCATCGTCTTCCTTTTACTTCTCCTCCTCTTCCTAGTCGTCATGGTCGTGGTCGTGGTCGTGGTCGTTGTCGTGGCCGTGGTCGTTGTCGTGGTCGTCGTCGTGGTCGTGGTCGTCGTCGTCGTGGTCTTGGTCGCTGTTGTCGTCGTCGTCGTCGTCGTCGTCGTCGTCGTCGTCGTCGTGGTGGTCGTCGTCGTCGTTTTCCTCCTCCTCATCTTCCTTCCCCCCCCCCACGCGGCAGGGATGGCCCGAAGAGGCCATCCAAGGCTACCCCGTTGTTCCAAGAGATCTCTCTGTTCACCCTGGTTGCCCGCTTTGTTTCACTACATGTGCCTCTCTTCGCCCTTTTTCCCGTCAGCTCTCACGGGCATGGTTTCCAAATGGGCTGGTGAAGATTCGCGAAGCGCTAAGAATTCAAAAACCTCTGGATCTTTTCGCACGGTTGGGTAGCTCTAGGTCGGGCATGTCCCCCGACAGGCAGGTTATTTTGGGGAAACATTGAAACACACTGAAAAAACCATAAAACAAAAAAACACAAACGATTGAGAAGCCGTCCCCAAACTATTCTTTGACTATTTTGGAATATTCCTCCTGCAGAGGGACATGCCCGACTTCAGGGTAATGCAGGATGACAATTTATAAAAAATAGGGGAGAGAACGACTCAAAACATAGTTTTCTGTTATTTCTGCACAATTTTCTGACTGGAGGAGAACGATTGAAATCATAGTTTTCCGGCCCGCGGCCGGCTTTTTCTAATCGTCATCCCGGGCGCCGCCGCGTGAACACGACCCCCGGTCATTTATGGATCGTCATCCTCCATTAGCTGCGCTCAGCCACGCCCAGGGGGGCTCGCTTCTCTCAAGACCGCCACCTCGCCTGCGAGACTGCGAGACCGCCGAACGGCACCCCCGGGCGCGCGCCGCGGCCTCTCTCCGCAAAGGGGCCCCTCGGGCACCCTCGGCGGGCCGCCCGCGCGGGCGTGCTCGTGCGACCCCGCGCGGGAGCAGCCAGCATCGGACCAGGAAGTCCCATCGGATCCCATCGAAATGCCCTACAGGGGGATCTTCGACGAAAAAAAACCCCTACAACTACCCCAAAAACGTAAACAAAATACTCGAGCAAATACCCCAAAAACATAAGGAGGGAGGCGCTCTCGGACCCTCGGCCCTACTCAAGAGATCGAACCGGATCCAGCAGATCTTCAGTCGGGCCTGCCCCCCTACAGGGGGATCTTCGACGAAAAATAAAACATACCCTACAACTACCCCAAAAAGGTAAAAAAGTACTCGAACAACTGTCCCCAGACCATTCTGGGGCTATGGTTTGACTATTTTGGGGATATCTTTTTGCTCTTCGTCGAACATCCCCTTGGTAGGGGGACAGGCCCGACTTACATCACATCGGAACAATGGACCCTGGCGTGTGGCGCCGCATCGGGCCGCATCTGCACGGAGTCGAGGTCGCAGCGCATCGGCCGCGCCAGGATGCACAGCCGAGCGCCGGCGCAAGCTCCGGGGGTGCCGCAAGTCGGACCGTCGGAGGGTCGGACATGTCGGGAGCGGCTCGGGCCAGTCGGCATCGGCATCGAACTGGATCGAACAGATCTCGGGCGTTGGCAGAACTGGGTTTAGTGGGCCCTGGTTTAGTGATGTGTATTGGGCGACGTCCCCGACAGAATTGGGGCAACCGGATGATGAACAATTGTCTGCGTGTGGCCGGCTCCGCCGCTCGCCTTGCTGATTGCTTCCGCCTGGAGGGCGGTGCAGCGCGAGCTTGGGCGTCTGCCGTGCGATCTTGGTACATGTAGTGCATGTTTCCCACCTCTGCTAGCGCACTGTCTGGTGCGAGGCTTTTGACTTGACTACCGGGCGACGTCCACGCCCTCCCCCCCCCGCCCCGTTCCACTGACCGGAGCTGCGGCAGACCTGGTGTGGTGATTCTGGCCAATCTAGGGGCTCTGGGGCCCTACCAGTAACCGGGTCCACTTTTTGGACGCCCGAAATGGGTACTGAAAGAATGGGTACGATGCCCAACAACAATTCCTGTTCATTTTCAACAGGATTCGCTGTCCACGCCGCCGCGGCCTGTGTCCATTCGAGACAGAAGGCCGCCTGCCCAACAGCGGCCGCTGTTGGCTTGGGACAACATTTGTTGTTGGGCATAGTGCCCATTCTTTCCGTGCCCATCTCGGGTGTCCAAACACTTACCCGAGATCCTGGCTGCACCCGAAAATCTAGGGCTGGGTGGTCAGGTCTGCAGAACACCCCAAACGGACTTCATGGTGCGCAACCGACCTGGTCGGTCAAGCTGAACTTGATGCACCACACCTGGCGTCGAGTCAAAACCTTGGACGCAAGCGAGCGGCTGGACCTTGCACATCTTCGCCGGCTTAACCGGCGAGGCGTTTGACCACCTTGACGTTTCTGGTAGTCCTGCAGAGGGAGGCGCTCTCTGACCCTCGGCCCTACTCAAGAGATCGAACCGGATCCATCAAATCTTAAGTCGCGCCTGTCCCCCTACAGGGGGATTTTCGACGAAAAATTAAAAGATACCCGACAAATACACCAAAAAGGTAAAACAAATACTCAAAAATAGTCCCCATACTATTTTTGGACTATTGTTTGATTATTTTTGGGGTATCTTTTATGTTTCGTCGACAATCCCCCCTGTAGGGGAACAGGCCCGACTTAAATCAAGTCGGCATAATGGACCCTGGCGTGTGGCGTGCCTCGGGCCTTTCCCGAGCCGCTTGCTCGCTCGGCGTGCTCACGTGCTCGCGAAAGCGGGCGCTGCGCGTGGCGTCTGCAGAGGGAGGCGCTCTCTGACCCTCGGCCCTATTCAAGAGATCGAACCGGATCCATCAAGTCGGCATAATGGACCCTGGCGTGCGGCGTGCCTCGGGCCTCTCCCGAGCCGCCTGCTCGCTCGGCGTGCTCGCGTGCTCGCGCAAGCGGGCGCTGCGCGTGGCGTGCGCGCGCCATGCTCGGCGCGGCTGCGCGCGTGCGAGGGGTGAAGTCTTCCACCGCTGCTCTCGCGTTGGCTTCGCCCTCGCACCTCTTCCTTCGTGCAGGCTGGGAGGAGAAGGAGCACGGGGAGGAGGAGGAGGAGGAAGAGGAGGAGGAGGAGGAGGAGGAGGAGAAGGAGGAGGAGGAAAAGGAGGAGGGGGGGAAGGAGGAAGAGGAGGAGGAGGAGAAAGAGGAAGAGGAGGATGCGAGAGGAGGGAGGAGGAGGAGGAGGAGGAGGAGGAGGAGGAGGAGGAGGAGGAGGAGGAGGAGGAGGAGGAGGAGGAGGAGGCGGAGGAGGAGGAGGAGGAGGAAAAGGAGGGGGGGAGGAGGAGGAGGAGGAGGAGGAGGAGGAGGAGGAGGAGGAGGGGGAAGGAGCAGGAGGAGGGGGAGGAGGAGGAGGAGAAGGAGGTTGGGGAGGAGAGAGGAAGAGGAAGAGGAGGAGGTGGAAGAGGAGGAGGAGGAGGAAGAGGAGGAGGCGAAGAGGAGGAGGGGAGGAGCAGGAGGAGGCGGAGGAAGAGGGAGGAGGAGGAGGAGGAGGAGGAGGAGGAGGAGGAGGAGGAGGAGGAGGAGAAGGAGGAGGAGGAGGAGGAGGAGGAGGCGGTCTCTCTGCTGCCGCTGCCAATTTGCCCGCCTCGCTGGGTGCCCTCGCCACTGGCTCCAGTCGGCCGCACTCCGTGTGTCCGCTGCACTTCGGCCCCGTGGTTGGAGAGAAAATGCCGGGCGGGAGCCGCCGGGCCAGCGAGGGTCAGACCCCTCCAGCCTGCCTTCCTCTCTCCCCAGTTCCCCCTCCTTCCCTCCCTGCCTCTACTTCTTTTCTCCTCCATTCCTCTCTCCTCCCCCCTATCTCCCTTCCTCTCTCTCCTTCCTCTCTCCTCCCTCCCTCCCTCCCTCTCTCCTCCCTTCCTCTCTCCTCCCTTCCTCACTTCCTCTCTCCCTGCTCACTCCTCTCACTCTCCTCCTCGCTCCTCCTCCCCTGCGCCCGCGGCCAGACGGCGTCCGCCTCCTCGGCGGCATTCGCCCGCATGGGCTCTCCCTCCTCCCGCGCCTTCCAGAGCCTCCCATGCTTTCTCGCCTGCAGGTGGGCCTGCTCGTCTCCCACACCACAGCGCCACAGGAGGCGGACGAGGAGGAGGAGGAGGAGGAGGAGGAGGAGGAGGAGGAGGAGGAAGAGGGATGGGATTGGGCAGGTGGAGGACGAGGAGGACGAGGGAGGGCGCGGGAGGGAAGTGGGCAGGTGGAGGACGAGGAGGGCGAGAGAGGGAGCAAGACACGCGACGCCACCACTCCCCACTCGCCCCATCGTCTCCCCCTCCTCCTCCTCCTCCTCCTCCTCCTCCTCCTCCTCCTGCTCGCGTCCTGTTCGATTAGCGGACTGTCCGCTGCTACTGACTGCCGCGCATGCGGGCTCGCGCCCGCCTGGCCGCCGTCTCGACCAGCTCGACCTTCCGACCCCAGTTCCGCTTCTCCGCCTCCAGCCGGAACTGCTCCTCCTTCTGGGTGACGTAGTCCACCACCTTGGTGACAGTGAGCATACTCCAGATTTCGTAATAAAAGGGAGGGGGTCTGGACCCTCCAAGACAAGCCATTTCAGACCTCCCCCGTGGGAGAACCCTCCAAAACATCGTCCCCAGACCCCCCAGGCCCTCCAAGATAGCCTGGAAGAGACCCCCCCCCCCCGAAATGAGACCCCCCCCTTTATTACGAAATCTGGAGTACTCTGGATAGGGGAATAATCGCCGCCCCCTTGGATCCGCTGGGGGGGGTGGGCACCTGCTGTCGGGACGGGGAAGGGGGGGTTGGAGGAAGAGGAGGATGAGAAGGGGGAGGAGGATGGAGGGGGGCGGGATCGGGCAAGCTCACTCAGAAGATTACTCCCCCCCCTTTGATGAACAAAAGCCCCCCCTTTGATGAACAAAAGCCATCCAGAGTAGAAGAAGAGCAACATCACACAAACATGCACTCCCGGAAATCCGCTCGGATGTCCTGCATCGGCCTGCCTCCCTGACGCGCTCTGCGCGCCCGGGGCGGCGCTGGAGGCGCCGCCGGCGCCCGCCCCACAGAAGTCCGTGCGGACCTGCGACGGTTCGTGCTTGTGGCGTGTTGTCCTCTTCGTGAGCATCGAATCGCCAATCACATTGGACTGGATCGGAACGCGCATCGAATCGGGCTGCATCGGCGTGGGCCTGAAATCGGATGGGATCGGACAAGCGACAACACGCAATGCCAGCTCCTGGCCGCCTCGGATCGACGGAGCATCGAGGTCGAAGCGGGCCCACCCGGGCACGATCGGTACCGACTCGGATCGCCCGGGCCGAAGTAAGCCCTGCACCTGCGGCATCTCGGGCGTCTGGCGAGACTGGGCCTGGAGCCTCTTCCGCTCCTTCCGCGCGGCCTCTTTCTCCTCGACGACCTTCACGATGTCGTGCTCCGTCTTCGCGAGCATCGCCTTCCTCTCCCTGATCTCGTCCTCGAGGAACTTGGCCTCGGCGGTGAGACCGCCCAGCCTCTTCTTCATGTTGTTCAGGATCTTCACCGTTCTACCAGATCTCCTCTTGAGCACCAGCAGCTCTTGGTTTGCTTCCTCGATGCGATGCACGAACTGCTGGTTCTCGATCTTGAGCTGGTGGAAGTCGATATACTGCAGATTGTCGCCAGTCTCGTCCTTGGACTTGAGCTGGCTGTCGGCCTTCTTGATGGCGCTCTTGTATGCCTGGTTCTTCATCAGAAGCTTGTTGATCAACATGTCCTTCTGCGTCAGTTTGTCCTCCATATACTTCAACACCTTCTCGGCCATGGTCTTCCCCGTGCGCGGGTTTTCCGCGCCGACCACGATGTCGCGCCGAAACTCGTAGGCGTCGCGCTTCACCTCCGCCGTCCTGATGTCTGTCTCCTCCATCAGGGCCCGGAGGATGTCGAGGTTCTGCTCGGAGGTTTTCCTCGTGTGCTCGATGTCCTTCGCGAGGGACTCCGCCTCCTTTGATCATCGTTTAAACTGTCACCATCCCCACTGGCATGGCCTGGGAGCCTCTGGCCGACCTACCACTGCAAGACGGGGATATATGCTGCTCCCTTTGGGTTTCGCGGGGCTTATTCCCATCCGGGGGGGTGGTCTATCAGGGCTGAGATATCATGGCCCAAAAGGGATGGGGATCGGATAAGCGATGCTGATCCTCACTGGCAATGCGGAACTTCTCCTCGAGCGTGAGCTCCTGGCGCTGCCGGACATTCTTCTGCTGGCGCTGGCCGCGGGAGACGGCGGCCCGGCCCTTCAGGGCCGCGCTCGCCGACGGCGTGAGGGAATCGGCGAGAGTCTCGTCTGCCTCGTCCTTTTCGCCACTCTTGTCGCCGTCGCGCTGCAAGTAGTCGTGCAGCATCTCGTTCTCCATGCCGAGGATTTCGGTCTGCTTCTGCAGGGCCGCGATCTCCTCGGTGATCTCCTCGACAGTCGCCATGGCCACACCAGCTGCCCTGGGTGCGCTGAGGCCCCCGTGGTCCTCCCTGGTGCGCTGCGGTGGCGCGGGGACCAAACGGGTCCCCGCGCCCCCGAGGGCTGAACTCGAGCCCGCACACGCCCGCGAACCCACTCATGCATACGGGCACGGACACGCAAGCAAGCAAGCAAGCAACGGCCATGCATCCTGAAGGACGCGTCGGCGTACTCGAAGTTGCGCCATAGGCAACCGAGTGAGATAATGAAAGCTTAAGTGCGTCGAAAATTGTAGCGATGGGAAGAGGAAGAGAGAGATAGAGAGAGAGAGAGAGAGAGAGCACGGACACGCAGACACGCAGAAAACGCACCCGGATAATCACGCGCACGGCCGCTGCAATTGAGGCGAAGAGAGCTGGCAACGAAGATCGTAGGAGCGGAATCTTCGAGAATCATGCCCCACCGCACGCTAATGGGAGCGTGCTGTTGCGCCGAGGCTGAGAACGCCTCCATTGCTAGCCCCTACCCCTCCCCAGGGCCTGGATGGGGGGGGGGGCGGGGGGCGAGGTGCCAGAGGGTGCCTCTTGGGCCAGGATGGCTCCAAGAGGGCCTCCGCGAGCCCAAGATGCTCCCCCAGATCAGTCGAGATACCTCAAGATGGCTCAAGGTAGCCTCCGACGCACCTCCAAGAGGCCTCAGGATGGCCCCCAAGACGGCTTCCGGTGCCCACCGCGCCCCCAGAGGCCAAAAGATGGCTCCGCCACCTCGGGGAGCTCCGTGCTGTTCGCCCTCTCGCTGTTTCGTTTCCGATGGGCTCTGGAGGCCGCAAGATGGCCCCAGGACGGCCCAAGAGAGGCCCAACAACGGGGGCCCAAGAGAGGGCCCTAAAAGGGCCCCAAGAGCGCCCAAGAGCGCTCCAAGAGGGCCACACGACGTCATGGTTTAGCCTCCGAGGGGTGGAGGGAGGGGGCACAGGGACCCCAAGAGAGCCAGTAAGATGGCCTCAGTCGTCCTTCAATAATCTCTCACACCAGCAAATCTCCAAAACTCGACTTCTTATCCTCCTTGTCATCGTCCGTTCCTCCCCTCCTCCGTTCCTGCCTCCTCCCTCCTTCACCTCCTCCTCTTCCTCCTCCGCATCTTCCTTGTGCCGCATTCCTCCTCCTCCTCCTCGTCCTCCTCTTCTTCCCCCTCCTCCTCCTCCTCCTCCTCCTCCTTCTCCTCCTGCTCATCCTGCTCCTCCTCCGTCTCCTCCTCCTCCTCCTCCTCCTCCTCCTACCCCCATGGCTCAAGATAGCATCCGACTGACCTCCAAGAGGCCTCAATAAGGCCTCAGGATGGCCCAAGATAGCTGAGCATGGCTCAAGATAGCCTCCGACAGCCTCTAGCCGAGGATGGCTCAAGATACCCGCCAAGAGACCTCAATAAAACCTCAGATAGTCCCTGGATGGGCTGGTAGGGATACGCGAAGCGAAAATACTTTCTCGCCCTCCCCACCCCTGGACCCTCGATCTCAATGTTGAGTCAACCTCGGCCGACGGTTGCAGCAAAATCGGATCGCGCGGCATCCCGCGCGAACATTGAAGTCGAGGGGCGCGGGGAGAGGGTGTGCGTGTGAAGATTGCGCTACTTGTCCGTGCCTTTTTGCCTTGGAGGTGAACAAGGGGTCTGAGCTGGATGCGTCCAGAGAAAATCGGTCAAGAAGTGTGGATACGGGCAAATCCACTCAAAATCAGTCCCTGGACCCCTCCCGGGATCCACCTGGTGTAGTTTTTCATCGCATATACAATTCTGACGGTCCCAGGGCACGAAAACGGCCCCGAGAGATCGAGAAAGGCGAATCACTCTTTCGAGCCTCAGGCCTCGACCCCCACCCCCCTTTCCTGCTCGCTGGAGCCAATTCTGAGCCACTTCAGAGCCCCGGCCAGCGTATGGCAGGTTCGTGTCGTGACGACCCTGGCGTTGGTCTCTGACACCGCGGGCATCATTCAAACTTGAACGACGGGCGGTTTCTGAAGCGTCAGCTCCTTCAACCTCGACCGCTTCTGGGCCGCCTGCGCAGTGAGCGTTGAACGCCGGCGGAGGGGTCACCGCCAATCGACACGACGCGAACCTGCCGCTTCCGTCGATCGGGCGGATGGTACTAGGGGGGGACGACAGACATAATAGGGGGGTGCAGCACAGAGCCCCGAGCGGGCCCCCGAGCGGGCCCCTTTTGAAGCTGGCTGGTGCCCTATAGAGGGGCCCTGCTAACTCAGGGCCTTCGTCTTCACCCCCCAGTCGGGTCGACCCCCCCGTTGCCACCCGCTCCATCCGATTGAGCGCTGCCCCGCGCGCGCGGGCCTCGGGACGGGCTGACCCGGGCGCGGCGCGGACGGCGGCCTCCCAGGGCGCTGGCGGCGTGGCGCTCCGCGCTCCCGGCTGGGGGGGTCGCCGCGCCGCCGCTGCCGCTCCGCGGGGGGCGTCCTGGGCGGCCCCCCCCGCCAGTGCTCCTACTGTTCGTCGTCGTCCTCGTCCTCGTCTCCCTCCTCCTCCTCCTCCTCCGTCCTCCTCCTCCTCCGTCCTCCTCCACCTCGCCCTCCTCGTCCTCCTCGTCCTCCTCGTCCTCCTCGTCCTCCTGCTCCTCGTCCTCGTCCCCATGTCCTCGCGTCCTCGTGTCCTCCTCCTCGCCGTCGCCGTCCAGTTCCTCCTCGACCTCGTCCTCGTCTTCCTCGTCCTCCTCCTCGGCCCCTCCTCGTTCTCGTCCTCGTCCTCGTCGAGACCCTCTGCGAGGAGGGGGCCAGCACAGGCGGAACCCCTCCGCCGCCACCAGCGTGCGACAGGGGCCCACGGCCAGCCCGCAGCCTCAGGACCCGCAGGCCTCCGGTCCCCTCGGGGGCGCCCGAGAGGGAGGCGCCCGAGAGAACGGTTTTTTGAAGGCAGATCTGCCTTCAAAAAATGTTTTTTTGAAGGCAGATCTGCCTTCAAAAAACCGTTCTTACAGGGGGGCTAAACGGTCCCAGGGACACACAAATTTGTAGACACAACTCCCAGGATTCCCGTAGACTCTTCAATCATTTCTAGGTTTTCGTCGTTTCCCCCCCACGTCCCGTATTTTTCCATATATTTTCCTTGGGGGCGACGATTCGTTGTGTATGTGTGTTGTTGTTCCCCTCCTGAATGGGGCGCAGATCATGGCCAGCGCCACGTGCGCAGCCCCGGGGGGGGGGGAGGGGCGGGAATGTGCTGAAACAAGAAAAGGCGCCATGACATCTGGGGAGACATCATGGGCCCCGCCATGATATGCCCCCCCCACTCATCACCCTCCTCTTGGCCGCCCCCGATCCTCGTCCCCCTCCTCCACCTCCCAACACGCCCGGGGGCGCGCGTCCGAAATGTCCGCGGCACGCGCCGTGGGCGGAAGAACGGCGGCAGGGTGAGGAGCAGCAGCGGCCAACCAACCCTCGCAAGATGGGGCCGGCGACAACTGGAGAGGCCCAGGGACACAGGGAAATACGTACACACAAATTCCAGCATTCCCTCGATTTCCTTATGCATGCCTGGGGGTCCTCTGCCCCTCCACATCCCGCCGTTTCCCATTTTTGCCTGGGGATCGACGCTTGTTTGTGTCTGCGTTTTTTCCGTCCCGAGGAACGATGGGGGTGGCAGCAAAGGTGGGGTTAGGGTTAGGTCGGGCGTGTCCCCCTACAAGCGGATTTAGCACGACAAATTATCAATACTCAAAAAATACACCCAAATTGAAAACAAAAATCGTCTCCAATATTTTTTGGGGACAATTTTTGAATATCCCTCCTGTAGAAAGACATGCCCGACTTACGGTTAGGGGGTCGGCTCGCCGGGCTTGCTTTCCAGACGCCCGGAGGCGCCCGCCCTTCGAGGAACGCGCCCGTCCTGCGGCAGGGCCGAAAACAACTGGGCGTTCAGCAGATGCAGTGCCCCCCCTTTGCCTATCCAGCCGTCTCGTCCGACCCTGTCGTTGGGCATGAGGAGTACGACGAGAGGGGCGCGATGGTGAGAAGGGCGAAGAGGAGGATGACAAGGATGAGTAGGATGAGTAGGAGGACGAGGGGGAGGATGAGGATGAGGAGGAGGAGGAGGTAAAAAGGTAAAGGCGCTTAGGGGGCGGTTCCCAAGTCCACTTGGAAAATGGCTGATGCCCCTGCGAGAATTAACGGATGCAGGGCCGCACGTTGCCGCGAGGCCTGCCGGCCACGCGTGCTGCTGGCTCACGGCGCTCCCAACCTAAGACACGCACGTGATCGCCTGCCAGGAAGCACGGGCGGCGTTGGCGGGGGGGGCCCCCTGCAACTTGGAAGGAGGAGGAGGAGGAAGACGACGACGACGACGACGACGACGACACTACGACGACGTCGAGAAGAGGAGGGCACGCAGTGCAGGCGCCGTGACTGCGGCGCGTGCACGCGTGCTGGGGGCTGCTTTGCCCTCTGTCTCGAAACCTTGGAAACTAACATCTGAAAGTAAGCCCGCCCTCCCATCCCAAACTCGCCACCCCAGTCCATCCCAACAGAAACACTACCTCGTGAGACTAGCTCTCGCCACGGTAAGGCCAAGAGGGGCGACGCGCCAAATGCGCGCCGTCATCCCCCCCCCCCCCTCTGACACGCCAAATGCGTGCCGCCCCCCTCTTCTTCTGATTTTTTTCGGCTCCTGGGGAGCAGGGGGGCGCTCCTTTCTCCGTCTTCATGAGCTGAGGATGAAGGGAAGGAGGAGGCAAGAGAACAACAATATTCTCGATATGATTCGTGTGTTTGCTTCGGATGTTACTTTACTCAAGCGCTATCAAATGCAACCTCGCACTTCTGCAAAACACCATACCAATGTCTATCCACGGCTGCGCCGCCAAGGAAATTTCGTTCCTCTTGTATTTAGAAAGCCCTCGTGTTTGCAACTCCCGCAAAGAAATGCCATTCGCCAGTTCCTCACTGTCTGCACACATGAAAATGTCAAAAACTCTGTCCATGAACGGTCCGAAATGATGTGCAAGACGTTTCGCGGATTGACACA